CCTGCCGTTAGGCTGATAGGCCCAGCCTCTCAGCAGGCCTCACAGGCACAGTACAACATGGCACTAAGATTGCTAGATATCGTTTCCAGGCAGGAAGGAAGCAGGCAGGCAGTGGGCAGGAACAGTAGTTCATGTCTGTCTGGACTCCATCCCTGCAGGCATAGCCTAAAGTCTCTGACCTGTGAGGGAGGAAAAGACTTAGATTTGTGTAGTTGCATAAGCTTTTGCTCCTGGTACTCACCTCACCTTCTCAGAACCTCTCACCCTCCTGCAAGGGCCACTGAAATTGCTCTCAAAACCTAGGTAGTCCTTCAGCAGGGCCAGGAAACACTTGCTGTCCAAAATAAGTTGTCGTCATTCATACCATAAAACAAAATTTGGGATGAATGAGAGAACTTAGCACCATTCCCCGATTTCCAGTGAAGCAGACAATTGCTTGAATCATTCTGAAGCCCCTATCCCCTGTTCCTCTGCCTACATCATAAGCGTGCTATGCTGCTTAATTACAAACCTGGAAGACACAGTAGATGCCACAAGGCTATTTGTTCTGTGTTCCCAAAGAATTGATAGCTGTCCCCTCAATTACATTTGGGATCATGATGGTAACAAGCAAACAAACTATCTAGCTTTATTAGAATGTTTTCCAGCAAACAGCTCAATTGTCTCATTTGTCAGACCACTAAAAAGTATTTTCACCTTTTTGCCATTGTTCGGTCTCTAATATCACTTTTTGCTTAAAGTCTTAGACAACTACAGAAGTCTAAGCCAAACAAACCATCTCAAGGAAAACAGAAAGACTACTTGAAGAAAATGTTTTTGATCCTGCAATATCTTGATTTTAAGCAGAGGAATTCTCACTGAAGGGACTTTTGATGTTTTATGCATAAGAATAGTTCAGTTGGAAGGGACCTACAACGATCATCTAGTTCAACTGAAATGACTTCATATATACATGTAACAGAAGAGCTTTCACATACACATTTCCTTGTAATTTCTCATAAATTTCTTCCTCTATTTTTAAATTTTATCCTCTTTCTATGTGAAAAGGCCCACTTAAAGAAGAAATCAGTTACTTCACCAAGCAGCAAGAGGAACACTGAAGTTGACTTAGTTCAGCAGTTCTTCATGGATGTCTCTGGTCTTTTAAATTTAAATGTTACACAGACAGATGCTTTAGTTCTGCAAAAATCACTCACACACACAACTTTATGGATGAACTGAAATCAACAGGACTACTTACATGCTTAAGGTTCATAACCTAAGTTATTACTTAGAACCACTGATGTTTTAATGTACCTATATTTAAACACCACTCCAGTTTTAAAATTGAGTTTGTTTGACGTTGTTTCCTCATTTATTCTTTTTAGACAAAACTGTGTACAGTGCTGCATAAGATCATAGAATCATAGAACCGTTTGGGTTGGAAAAGCCCTTTAAGATCATCAAGTCCAACCATTCCCCTGCCCCTGCCATCCCACCACTAAACCCTGACCCTCAGCACCGCATCTGCCCGGCTGTTAAATCCCCCCAGGGGCGGTCCTCACACTACTCTTATTGCCTACAAAATAACAGTGCCTTGAAGCTTGACAGTGTTTCTGGAAGCCTCTCAGATCCTCCATGCAGCATTTCCAGAGGTGAAATCTCTCCATATTATACAAAACCCTCAGTCATTCAGTAACAGAAATCTCCATTTCGCTGGACTATGCGGCTGACCTTTCTGGAATTTCTTGCCTGTCCAGGTGCATCCAGCTCCTCTTCCATCTAAGGTGATGAAACACTACGGTAACTGCCCCCAGCGCAGGGGCTGAGCAAGCCCAGCAGCAGGCCAGCCCCCTTCCCACAGGCTGAGGAGCTGGGAAGCAGCAGCATCACCCACCAGCCGAGCGGTGCACTAGGACGGCTCTCTCAGCACGCTCCTTGCTCGGGACCCCAACAGTGACCATGGCACACGCTCCATCCCAAGGTCACAGCACCCACCCCATCTCCAGGCTGGCGGTGTGGCTCAGGAAAGCCAGCCGGCAGCCAGGGCAGGCCCCCGCCCTTCCCTTAACGCCTCCTGGACTCCCCAGCACCCCGAGGGTAGCACCCCTTGTTCTTTCGGTGACAACCCCACACCCCTGGCAGCAGTTCCACCTTTCAAGTGAGCCAGGCTGCCTTCCTGCCCCGCTCCAGGAGCGGCCCCCGGCACCCCAGCCCCTCAGGGACCCCGCCCGAGCGCGCCCACCCGCTCAGCCCC